AATGATCAAAATAATAATAATAATAATAATAATAATAATAATAATAATAATAATAAAAACCTTCAGGTAGAAGTCAAACTGTAGTTTTTTACCTGTTATGTGGCAGCAGGTTTTACCTCCGATGGTATTTTAGTGATACTGTAGATGTCTTCTTTATGCCCGCAACATTACAACGTTACATAACAACCGGAGAGAAACCAAAGTTTAAATCCAGTGTCTCCACAGCCGGTGCCCTTCATTCGTCGCTGCGCATGCGCGGACAGCACGAAGTCACATAATTAGTTAAATGGAGATCACCTGTGTGCAGGTGTCCGCCATGGTTTTATGGTTTTATTATGTTTGTGTTTACTGCAACAGTTGCACAAATGTACAATGGATATAAAAGGGACGGGAAATACAACAAAGAGCAAAGAATTCAACTGTGAAAGTAGTCAGAGTCTATATGCAGTACCGTAGACTGACCACATAGGGGCGCAATTTCGCTGCGAATAAAAATGTCTCACAGGGCTACACCTCTAGTTGTCTGTACATCATATCAAAATGAAAAGTAACATGTTCGAAGTATGTAGGGCAAAAATGACATAAGGATAAATAAATACATACAAATATTATTATTATTGTTAATTTATTTATGTATTTCTACATGTATTTATTTATCCTTATGTCATTTTTGTCCTTTATATGGAAGTGCTCTCTGATTGAAAATGTTTTTTCTACATTTAGTTTCCTGCTTTTTATACTTTATACACACATTTAGAGAGGTCAAAGCTTCAGGGTCTGAGGGTTTACCTGCAACTGCAAACTGCAACTTTTTTACTAATCGCAGCATATTTATAAATTAATTTCCTTCCCCATTTTAATCAAGAATGACAAACCTTGAATATTGACCACAAATGTCAGAAATGTTTTGTTTCTTGTATCCTTTGGGCACACTTTAGATTTTTACTACACTTCCCTTAAGATATAGGAGCCCTTCATTCCCAACCTAAGGAGAGCTCATATGAGTTGCTGCTCACTGTAAGCCTAATTAGGGATTTAAATAAATACACGGACAGGGAGATTTCACAAAATTCTCCAAAGCAGGCAGAACTTGAACACGTCTACTTTTTCACTCTCGATCTTCCAGAAGCCACTTATGATGTTACAAGTCTCCTGGAGCTGTAATTTCTCAATGATTGGCAACAAAGTGCTCTGAAACACTGTCATTTGCATCGTATGCCCCCCACCTCTTCCTCCTCTTCCCTCCTCCTCCCTCCTCTCTTTAGACCACAATAAAGCAAACGGTACAAAGCCTTACAAAGTGTCTCCAACAAAGAGAAAAGCACCCGATTCATAGCTGGTGATATCGGTAATGAACGAGCAACACATAACAGGGGCAACAGGATTTCAAAGTCTTTTAGGTTTTCCCTGCGGATCATTTTTCAAACATCGTTTCAAATCCCCCTCTCAACTAAAAGCTCATGACGTTTTCAGCATGTAACTCCTCTCGGCCTGTCTTGCACATTTCCCATCATCACAGCCTCCTTTTCTCCAGATTGTTTGTCCTCATCTGAGTAATGTGGGGCACACCATTACATGTCATTCATTTCCAGCTTTTGTTAATTGCCGGGTGAATTTGCCAACGAGGTCTGACTGTGCAAAATGAGAAGGGCATGTTTGATAATTACAGCAATTTACCAGCAAAAAGTCCTTTTATACTCTAAAGATCATTTAAGACACTGAATGCTGTCAGGGCAACTTGTCTGGCTGTTTGAGTTTTCACTGAAAACAAAAGAGCAGAGTGTGAGCGTTTTATTTGTTGGGTGTTTTAGTTCTGCTCTTTGTATTGACTAGTTTCTAGCTTGATTTCCTGCAATAGTATTTTACTATTATATTGTATTATTATGGTTATTATTATATCTTTCTTGTGTGATAATTTTTGCTATGCGTTTAAACTCTTTATACTACACTATTTCATAATAATTTTACAATGAATTTAATGAATTGAATTTAGCCCCGTTCTTGTCAAAAATCTATTTCTCTTCTTGTTCCTACAGTGTGATGTTTGGTCTTCACTGTGCAGAATGATGTATAGTTTGACACTAGAAGGGGCATGTTTTCCACATTTATCTGCTGAAGTGGGAAGTTTCTCGTGTGCTCATTTAAAATCTGATTTTAAGAGGTGGGGCCTACCAGCATGATTTGGTGACAATAACAAATAAGTTTGGAAAGTCAACCCTGGTCCAGGATGCAACTTATACAAGTGTGATGTAGAAACTGCCACCAGTGCACATACACCAGAGACAATGGACTTTACAGTGAAGTAGGAGACATCTTGTGTCCAGCAGGAAAACTTTAGAAATGAACACAATTTGCATATTCATAGATTCTGGAATTTTAAAAGCTGCAGTAGGTCATTTATATAAAAATCTTTTTGCTAAAACCTTTACTATATCCTGACAGTGGAACATGAGACAGATAATCTGTGGAAAAATCGCATTCGCCTCATTCTAGCACTAATTTCATTTGCCAGAATCCACTGGGCCTGAGTGAAAGCAACCAATCAGAGCCAAGGAAGATAGTTGATTATTGAGTCTCATTACAGTGAGAATCAAAATTCAACTATCTTCAAGCCTCCCACCCAAAGTGTCTTTATATCTTTCTTGACTCGGATTGGTTGTTTTGTTCAGGCTCGGTGGATTCTTGCAAATGCCATTAAAAGCAGTAGAATGAGGCAGAGGAGCCTGAATTTTTCACAGATTATATGTCTCATGAAGTACTGTCTGACTGATATGGTAAAAGTTTCAGCAAATATGCATTTTTTTTAAATAAAAATGTACTGCAGCTTTAACAAGGTAGAAGAAGTAGATTACTACCATAAGGATGTAAAGTAGAAATGATTAACAACCATGCACACATTACTTTTACACACTGGCCTACTTTAAGCAGTGGAGCCTACAAGCATGATTTCTGAAATCACAAAGTATTGCCCTAAGTAGATTATGGTGTATATGTCTTAATACATCTCTGGAGGGGATCTTTAAATCAAACAAAATGACCACAGATGAGCACAGCATTGCACATTTTCACAAACACAAACCCCTAAACTTTACTTTATTTTTTGATGCAACATGTGGTTGGTCATTCAATTCATTATCTGCCTTGTTTACCTTTAAATGTTGGGATATGAGTAATGTGGCTCTGAAGTGAGCTTTGTGCTGAAGGAAAAGAACACGAGCAGGGAAGTCCATAAGCAAGTGAAGTGTAAGTCATCGAGTCAAATTCTATTTATATATACCAAAATCACAATTTGCCTCGGGGATTTACAAAATGTACAACATTTAACACCCTCTGCCCTCTGACCCTAGATTTGGGTAAGGAAAAACTCACAGAGGAGGGATCCCTCTCCCAGGACGGACAGACTTGGAATAGATGTTGCATGTCATGTCTGGTATTCGTTCTGTCAGATGCATATGAGAAACTGAGACATGTGGCTGAATTGGGTGTGGGCAGCTTGTAAGGGATGGGGCTGTTTTATCACATTTGACATATGACAATACCATTACTTCCTTACTGACAGCTGTAAAGTTTGGCATTACAGATATCTCTTCAACCCAAGCTTGCACCAGAAATGTGCACGTTGGTTCACAGGTTTTCAAAGCCTGAGACTATGGGCTTCCCTTCAGGCAAAGCTTTCGCTCAATTCCTGGATGCTTATTGGATCGTGATTGCTATTTGATCCACAGACACTCATCAATTGAGACAAGACAGCCTAATATTGCTTTTTGACATAACTTCAGCCTACACAAATGCATAAAAAGGTATGTCTTAAGGCATTTATTAGTTTCTGACTCTGGGAAAGTACAGGAAAAAATCCCC